CATTTCTTCTTAAAAAACGAGAGCTACAAATTTTTTCTTTCCACAACAAATTTACAACAAAAACACTATAATTAATGCCGTAGTAAACTTTTCCAATTTCGAAAAGTGTAGTGCTAACTTGACACACGTGAATTTCGTTTACTTGGGAACCAGCATTAACACCGATAATAATGTCAACATTGAAATCCAACGCAGAATCACTCTTGCCAACAAGTGCTACTTTGGACTGAGTAGCCAATCGAGGAGTAAAGTCCTCTCTCGACGTACGAAAACCACGCTCTATAAGTTACTCATCATGCCTGTGCTGGTATATGGCGCAGAAGCATGGGCAATGACAACATCCGATGAGGCGGCTCTTGGAGTGTTTGAGAGAAAGATTTTGCGGAAGATTTACGGGCCTTTACGCGTTGGCGACGGCGAGTACCGCAGACGATGGAACGATGAGCTATATGAGCTTTACAACGACACGAACATAGTAAAGCTAATTAAAATACAGCGGCTCCGCTGGCTTGGCCATGTCGTTCGAATAGACACCGACGCTCCAGCTCTTAAAGTATTCAACTTGGAACCGGCTGGTGGTAGCAGAGGAAGAGGGAGGCCCCTTTGCGATGGAAAGATCAGGTGGAGAAGGCCTTGGCTTCACTTGGCATTTCCAATTGGCGTCAGTTGGCACAGAGGAGAAACGACCGGCGTGCTTTGCTGAACTCGGCCAAAATCGCTTAGGCGGTTACAGCGCCAAAAAAGAAGAAGAAGAATACAAAAGAAATGCATATACCTAACCCAAGGTTTGTTCTATGGTAATTAAAAAACATTTTTTGTTTAAATATTTTTCCATAGCTGGCTTTCTGCTGGCTTTCCTCGTTGAAATATTTCAGTTTGAAAGCTATTTTAGTCCTCTTTCAGTTGATACCAAACTTGTTTAATTTGGATAAGCGGTTTGTTTATTATTAGGAAAGGACTTTAGCTTTCGACTTAAAAATATCTGGCCAAGTTTAGCTGTTGAAAAAAGTAACCGTTATTTACGGTCCCTGGTTTATTCATATCGCCCGCATATAGCCGATATCGGCCGAGCACAATTCGGCCGATGCCGGCTGTAGTGTGCGCGTAGCATAAATTTCGTAAAGTTAAAATACCGTTCACAATTATTTGCATTCGCGTACCTGATAATTATTGAAAGTTATAAAAACCATCAGCTTTTTGTGTTCGCGTACGCAAAAACTTCCAAAGTAGGGGAAATTGAGAGAGCAAAATGACATTTCATTTTCCAGCTGGAAAAATTTTTGCCAACAGCAATTTGCCAACAAGAAAACAGCTGATCAAAAACAGCTGGTTGGAATTTACGCAAACCCATAAATTGAATTTATTGGTTTGGAAGATAACATAGTAACATGCGACTAAGTAAACTTGTACGAAGTAAGTAATTATATTCTGCTCGCGTACTATTTTGGATATTTTTCTCTTGTGAGAGAACATATGACATTTCGCCGGAATTTCGCTGTCTGACATTTTTTACTGGAGATTTTAAACGAACGTGCCTATTGACTAACCAACAATTAACAAAACTGTTACGAACGGCTTTAACTGACGTAAAACCAGATTTTGATAATTTCGCCAAAGGGATCTTTTCAATTTTCTTTAATATCTATTTTACTTACATTAGAATAATAATAAAATTAATGTTTTTCATTTCAAATAATAATTTTATTTAAAAATAAAATTTTTGCTTTTGTTGTTTTTTTTGTGGCTCTTTGTAGCATCTAGAATTTACATGTGGCTCTTTTCGGTCTTGGCCTTGCCCACCCCTGGCATACAGGGAAACGAGGAGGCTGACAGACAAGCAAGAGAGGCCGTAGCCTCTCGACCTATAGGCCCTGACCCCTTCCTTGCATTGGGGCCTCATACAATCAAGGAGGAGTTAAGAGCAGAAGAGCAAAGGCTAAGAAAAGCACATTGGGAATACACGCCTGGGCTAAGACAGGCGAAAGAACTTCTTGGAGGATATAATACCAAAAGATCTAGGGAACTAATAACCCTGCAAAAGAATAACCTGAGATTCTTAAGAGGAATGCTAACGGGGCACTGCAGACTGCGGGCCCATATGCATAACCTGGGGATCAGTGCAGACGATTTGTGGCGGTACTGCGATATTGCACCAGAAATCCCACGGCATCTCCTATTGGAATGCGATGCGGTTGCGAGAAGGCTAACACACCTGGCCAGAGGCTACGCACGTACACTATCTACCTCCCTCGAATCTGCTCGGATTTATCAGAGCATTGGGACTGGACGATGTGTTGTGATGAGCTCCGAGCGCACAATAGGCCTAAGGTCGTGCATAGCTCCTAACAATCTATCCATCTAGGGGCAGAGGCGTCAGTTGAGTGGGGTTTTGTGCGCATGCGAAGAGATCGATCCATAGCTCTTACTCGCCAGCACCGCTCCTCTCTCAGATTAGTAGGCGGGGTAATTACCAGACATTGCCTGGTGGGCACACACCGTAAAAAGTTAGGATACCCCACCAACGATTTTTGTCTCAGTTGCAGGGACGAGGAGGAGACCATCGAACACCATCTCTGCCATTGTCTCGCCCTGGCCAACGCGCGCAACCAACTCTTCAAAAAGTACTTTCTGGAGTATTAAGCCGACTTGAACTCGGCGACCGTCCTCGACTTTTTGTGCTATATAAAACGCACTCAGTGGTTCAATGTCTTTGGTCAGAGGTATCACAACGGGCCTACGTGTGCTCCGTGCTCTGCGCGGGGCAGCCACTCTAACCTAACCTAACCTACTACTACTTTTTCTTAAAAACGAAAGTTACAATTTTTTCTTTTACAATAAATTTGCAAGTAAAAAGCTACAATTAATGGTAACATACTGGATATCTCAATTCTATCGCCTAGGTGTATGGTGTTAAGTTAGCACTACATACCATTTTTTCTAAAAACGAAAGCTACAAATTTTTGTTTACATTTTTCAGTTTATAACGGTAAACTCGCTTTTTTCCAGAAAACCGAACGCTACAAATTTGTGTTTTTTATCACAACAAATTTGCAAGTCAAAAGCTACAATTAGTGGCATAGTAACATATTGGATATCTCAATTCTATCGGCTAGGTGTATGGTGACAAATTAGCACTACATACCATTTTTTCTTAAGAAACTAAAGCTAAAATTTTTTTCTTTTTACAACAAATTTACAATAAAAAAGCTGCAATCGATGCCGTAGTTAACTTTTCCAATTTCGAAAAGTGTAGTGCTAACTTGACAGACGTCACAACTTACTCACCTTTCATAAGAAAATGATTTGCACTATTTGAGCGTACATCAGTCGACAATACAGATAAAAATCTGAATATAGCTATAAGTTACTGTTTGAGTAAACTTATTTATCGCATGCCTTTCTATGCATTTTCAAATATTTAATATTAAATTACCTACTAAATATTATTTCTTCAAAGGTACTTGATAAATTTTTACTTTTGGAAAATATTATAAGGTATTTCGGTAGAACGCGATTAAAAAATTGGCACATTGTTATTGTTAAATATTCTCCTTTCACATCTTTTACGCCGTATTTTGTTCGCTTTTTTTTTGTTTTAGTGTCTTATTACTCCCTCACTTCGAGCAATTTCTCTTGCCAATTGCCTAGGAGTAGTATCTTAATGTTTTTTTTGCAGTCACTTAACCTTTTCATTTTACACATGACTAAAAAATTGTATTACATATAAGAAAACTGTAAGCAAAATTATAAATAAATTTCAGTTTTTGTCAATAACGAACTTTTCCAACATATTCCATACGAATGTATATCACTGTAACAAACTATTTGCACCATCGAAATGGTGGCTGTAAATAGCCCTTGAATGAATCGCGAGGTTATTCTAGGTAATTTGATTTGATTTCATCAATTGTCCATGTTTTTTACAAAACCGATACTACTTTCATAATACCCTTGTCATTTCATATTCAGATCATCTTCGATTTGCGATCTGCGATTTGCGACTGAATTGATTATTCGCATTGACTATTTAGGGGGTCAGGCCAAATATTTCACCTCCAGTTTTATTTACCCCAACTTAACTTTGAATCTCATAAAATAACTAACTTACCATGAATATCATGTGGATTATCGAGAGGTTTTGAGCCACCCCAGATAACAGCAAAAGTTGCAGTCAAATTCGGCGAACGCGAAGTATACTGAAACTCCATATTGTCACAATATATGGTATCTCCCAGAAGTTGTGCGTTTAAACTAGTAACACGGCCTTCGATGTTAAACTGGCATACAAAACGCGTTTGAACTATAAATTGTCCAATTATGTGCACTTTTACTTTAATGGACTTACTGGTTCCAGCAGCAACTAGCATTTCACTGCCTTCACCAGTGGCGTTAATTGTAGGACAAAATCCAGGACCTGAGCGGTAACTAGGTCCGATGCGGGAAACGCCAGTAACAAGAATATCGTTGCGACAATTTTCTGCAGTGTCATGAGTGCAACGATGTGCCTCCACACACCAATCACATGGAAACTCTGAAGAAACGCATCTAGTGCATGAAGAATGTGTACTGCAGTCAAAAAAGGTGAAATCGGTAGAAACAAGATCGGGCCCATCCTTCGTTCGAACGGATAACTTGGCTGTAAAGTGGTGTTTACCCTGTTCTATTTGTGGCAGCATATCGGTACGTGGCGTGGTACAGTTGACACCATTACGCTTTTTTGTTGCATTCGTAAATAATGCCTTCTCCTCCGTGGTAAAAGCACACACGAGATTTTCTTTCAGTTGCGGCAAATGATCAATAATGAGCTCTAAGGTTCTTGCGGTGGTTCGTTGCAATTGATGTGGTACAACACTTGTTATTGTTGTACACTTACCGGTCTTGTAACTAATCCAGTATAAGGGATCGTTCGCATCATCTTGACAACTAGAGCGCGGACTGCACTTGTTTTCAAGGGAACACCAGCCACAATATGGATCACGTGCTCCCAAACATTCTCCACAAGTGCCGTAATCTGAGCAATCATACACCTTTACTTTGGCAACTTCATTACGCGACATTACATAAATGTATAGATTCCGACTATCGAAATGCATATCTGGATTGATAGCTGAACCTACTTTTATGGGTATATTAGCATACTCATTTGCGGAGTCAGCCGATTCTACAACTACTTTTTTTAAATACCCTTTTGAGGTTCCAATGAATACAACTGTATAACCACTGGTACTTGTAGCAGCAACCGCGGTAAGTCGAGTATTAAACATAGCAACCGGTACCACTGCGATGGGTTGTTCACCACCCAATGGCGAGTTTACGTCGAGGCCACAAAAATCCTCTCCAATCGTTTGCAATTTCTGTGAATAAATAACATAATACATTAGCAAATTATATGAGTAACATGTATGCAGAGCTGATAAATGATGATTATAAGTTGTAAATAAAGCAAAAATAAATAAAAATATCCTTAAAAATTAGATGACATTAAAAAAATCATCGAATAAATTTCGAAACCAAAGCTTCATACTTGACGCACTTGAGAGTGAATTGAGAAAGAGGACTGAGGCCTATATACTTGTCCATAAACATTTTGGGTTCCTCAACAAATCACGCTCGGTGAGAAATGTTCGCAGAAAATACAAAATTGTTTGAGATATGCGAAAGCGACTTGGATGACAATGTAGGGAACGAGGTAATAGAATTTAAAAATTTGTGTATGCAGTTTCAACCAGACTATGAAAAAAGTCAAGAAGTTTTTAGCAAAAACATATGGATTCACAAACTTTTGTTTGATTATAACGTCATAGATAACTTCCCAAATGCAGAAGTTACATTGAGAATGTACGTTCCTCTCATGGTCACCAAGATTTTAGCAGAAATGTCATTTTTTAAACTGCAGCTGATAAAAAACCGACATGACGGAAAATAGGCTGAACTTTTTTGCTTTTTGCAGTCTCTTAAAAACAGAAATAATAATACCGTGCGCGCAAAAATCAAAGCGGTTATTTAGCAACTTCAAACTTGCGCTTTGTTATACTAAAGTTGCATGGGCTATAAAACTGCATTCTGAAAAATCTAATTAGAACTACGATTGCGAACTATTTAGAGTGCAAATTCATTGAATTTTCCTGAGCTTTACACAAAGTTTACAGATTTAAGTTTTAAGTTTTTTTGTTGTAGTATGAACTATATTTTTTATAAAAAGTAGCGAAAATAAATTAGAATAAAAAACTTTGCATACATTGCGAAAAATTCTCTGTACCAATACTTTTGTCCGGCACTGTACATATGAATGTATGTACATTAGAATGCATCAGCAAATAAAAGTTGCTGTTGTGTGTGTGTGAAATAACACAAACGGCAATAACGCAAAGTTTGCTTTATTTCACTTTTAAATGGGAAATAATACCAAAATCTGAGTTTTGCTTTATTTCCAACAAAGGTTGGAAATAAAACACCTTTTGCCTTATTTCCCATTGTTTATTTGTACTATTTGTAACAAAAAC